TCTAGTCAACACATCGCACAGCACTTTGTAAAGTGCTGTAAGTTTATGAAAGTAACCAATCTCGCTCCATAGGCAAAGGAGGTGTGCTTCGGTATGTATGAACGGAGTCCTTTAGGCGAAAATTATTTTCCTATTATGTGGGAAAGTCTAAGTCGCAGTGATTCTTCGCGAAGTTTTTCACCTTTTCCAGACAGTAATTCCTGACTAAATCTTCAAGTATTCTATGCCTATCACCAGGAAAAAAAAAGTGTTGTTGCCTGCGGGTTCTTCCATACCTAACGATTAGCTAAAAAAGAATTTATCAATTTCATTGAGACACTGATGGATGATTCTTTTAGATGGAAACCTTACCGCAAAGCACAGATGGCGTTTTGAAAACTGCTTGCAAGAAACATGGTCGAAAAATAGGTATCTTTTCGCAGATGATGCAGAACTCACCCTGAGAGTAGGTTTGTACTGTTTACATCCATGTTCATAGGGTCGAAACATTGAAAGCGGCACACATGGGAATAAGTGACTGCTGGGAAGAGCTGAATGTTTGCAAGGAAGTGTCCATCCGACGAAATGTGCGAATGAGTACGAGTTGTGAGCGTTGAGGTTACTTTTACTGTCAAAAAAACAAGGCATAATTACTGCTATTAGACAGCATAGGAGAGAGTATTGAATTTCTTCGGAGAAATGCTGAATAGGGCAATATCTAGCTATGAGGAGCTTTGATTCTATCACACTTCATTCATTAAATTCCAATTTACAGTCACCCCTAGAGGTGCAAAATGTTACTTGAAAAGAGCACGACATTGAGAGTAGAAGAAGAGAAATAGTTTTGGGTTCCTAACGAGGTACTGCAATGGTGCATAGGATGCTGTAATACAGCGGATAAAATGAGAATTGCGATGCAAATTTCGCAGCCGGCAAGCCGGTGGCGGGTGTGCCGTCGTGTCCCAAGGGGTTAGCGGCAACTTGCCGAGGGACAGCTGGCTGACGGAAAGGATTCTAATGAATATAAACACTGACTGAAGCCTAAAAATGAAGCCGAAGAAAAGATTGATGGCCCCGAGTCTGGGGGACGTCCCCATCATTTCCCCTCAAACTGCTCCGTAACAGGCCGTCTACCTTCGCAATACACATTACATCTTTGCATAAGATCTTCTTTTATAAAGCATTTGGTCTATTTGTCTCTATATTTAGTTGGCATTGCGGAGTAACAAAGCCAGAAAACAGGTGAAAGTGAGGCTCGGAAATCGGGCGCTGGGCTCCACAAACTTGTTTTTCACATGGAGTTGATGAGATGCGTTTGGAATGCTCCGATTCAGACTAAATTATTCATATCCTCGGAGTGTTCCTACATCATGACGTGCTCCCTGTATCCAGGATATGGGTGGGTCGTAATTGCGTACTCAGTGCAGCACATAGCTGCAACCTTCGAAAAATTGGCAGTCTTCGTCAACGAAACTAACTAAACTGAAACCTGACGAAGTCGAGTAATTCTGGGAAGATTAAATTGAGACCGCTGTCACGCACGCCAGTGAGTCCGCAATTACGACCACTCTCACTGTGGTATACAGAAGTGAGTTATGGCGTGGAATAACATGGTGACGTGTGACATGAAATCTCCAAGCGGAATTTGGATTTAACATTTGTGGTCCGATGGAAGGATCTTCCATGGCTGCTTCGGATGCTCTCCGGAGTTCCAATGATTGCTACGTACATTTCGAGAAGGATCAACGAAGACAGTGAAGAGAAGCTCGTGTGGCGGCAATCTCTGAGGCGCATCCGCCCCGGATCGCCCCGCCCACCCAAAGCAGCTGTCTGATTGCTTGCCCTGAGTAGTGCGATTTGGATCGAAGCTACGCGTTTACACCGCAAACCGTACTGTAGCCCTGAACCATGAGTATTTCAACATTCTTCCTCTCCCTCCCCCAGGGTTCCATTTCTGGACACTAGTATTAGGTTGGCGGGAAAGTTCTGTCATACTTTTTTGAACCCAAGTATTCGCCTATTACCTGAAGAGGGCTAACCGGTAATGTGAGCATTTATACATTAAGGATTGATCTTTCTATTAGTGTCACTGGCTCGGCTCCTGCTCATCCTTATTCTGCATTATGGACAAGAATGTTATCCGCTACCTTCAGCACCGACCCTTCAAGCGCTTCCTTAAACTATTTCTTCTACCACCCTGGCGCCAGCATGGCAGCTGTCGACGCCGAAATAATGGAGCTGCACAAGGACAATGTCTACAGTCATCAGACAATCTTCCACGACGCTAGCTCTTCAGAGCGGGAGCCTACGGTTCGAATGACGAAGTGAGGTTCGGGAGTACCTGTAAACTCAGCTCTAGATAGCGGTGGGTCGGGAAACTACTGGATGAAGAAGCTGCCTCCTCGGTCAATCCGTACGCAAGGCAGCTACGAGATCTGAAGCGAATCGTCAAGCAGAGGGCAAAATCCATCGGCACAGTCCGTCTTCAACGTGCTGGTGCAGCACACCCCGTCAAAAAAAGTTCGAGCCGTACTTCATGCAATAGAGCTGGATGGCTCTCCCCTTGCACCGGTGTAGTCCAGACATTGCTCTTTCTGACTGCTAGTCGCCTCCCGTATTCAACCGTTATACAGCCCCACGACTTGAGCCCAAGTCAAAGTTGAGATGATGTCCAACTTTGCGTCGCGCCGGCGTGCATTGTTAAGCGATGGCATCCACGAACTGTCCAAAAACTGGCAAGGATCTCTCAATAACATTGCTGTATAATTTTGATCTTGTACGCCTCTCTGTAAAAAGAAAGTCTAATTTGAAAAAATGTGACAGAACTTTCCCTCCAACCTAATACCAACGACTGGTAATCGTAGAATGTGTCTTTAAGCGCACTTAAAGCATGTAACTCATGCCAATGGGAGTTTCTTTTGGCACGGCACGCTTCAGGTCTCGGGCCTGAGTTCTTCTGCAACCAGGTACCCTCAGCGTTCGAGGCAAGAAGAAATTAGAAAGCAGACGCGCACAGATTGTGGGCCGGTAGCTATTTACCTGCGCACGCATTTGCGGTCGACCTGTACGTACATGTTTCTCCTTATTTCAAAAGAAAATCAAGACCAGACATTTTAGAAATTGCGTTTCTGTAATACATCATAAACCCAGACGCTTCCCTGGGATTTGATAGGGGAAATCAACTCTTCAGGTTCAGTCATCACATTCGGATTTCCCTAATGTTACACTAAAGCACTTAGTCATGCATGTTTCATGCAATGGTTGTGAGGCGTAATGTAGTTCTCGCTTTGAGGAAACGCGCTGAAGCATGAAGGTCATTTGCATTTGTCCTCTTTCCCATGAAACATGTGATTGGGGAATCATTCGTGAACTAAGCCGACGTTACTACGCAGAGACTTTTAAGCGATTCTACTGCCCAAACAAACTATGCACTGTACCTCTGAACGGTCGATAATTCTGCGCGTTCAAAAGAGTCCCATCCAGGGCACAGCATCGTGATGTGTGAAATGGTGGTGTAGGTAGGACCCCCGCCCTCCTAGAGAGGCTTCCATCAGTACAACCCCGTATGCCTTTCACACAACGAAGCTGTACCCTGGTCCATCATTTCTATACAGTTGAAATCGTCGCATTCAGTCGAGACGGTGTCAAGAGGTATTGAATGAACCCATCGTTTTCTTAATCGACCACTAAACTATTACTATTGGTAGACAACTTAGCTGGACGGGCTCATTCTAGATCCTGACATCGCCCCAAGTGATTGCAACTATGTATATCGACTTCATCATTGAGAATCAAACCAGGCACGGTTCATTAATGGAGAGAGCAGCGATTAAGTGGTCTGAATTGAAGCGCTTGCTGTAGTTTCATTTATTCAACTTGCCAAAACAAACTTCGAAACCTTCACAGCAGACGGCTGCAATAATCTGATGCAAGAGATTAAAGTATCCGCTCCTTGGAGGTAAATTTCCAGTAATGCCCTTCCTCAAAGATAAACATCGTGAGGAATGGAGCTCAAATTTTGAAAACGGATGACATTCAAAGGTCCGAATATGCCAGACTCGGACTCCCTTCTTCTTTGCTTTCTATTCGTTCGCCACTCTCTCAAAACGGCATCCGGATTTTACTCGATCCAAGAAATCGAGGGCGAGATTTCGCATGGAAAAGAGCCCAACTGATATCGTTCTATCATTCTGGCCTGGGTGCGAAATGACCCATCAACCATCGCTGAGATTCTCTGGTGTTTGATCATGTTTGATCACCAGCTTTGTGTCAGGTGTTGTGCTACAACCATCCATTCCTTTCACAAATTTTTATGTACATAAAACGTATCCGAAACAACACTATGACTAGTAGTTTATTGATAATTTACAACGATTTTTTTTGTAAAGAATGCACGAAGAATATTCAAGAAGGACCACTAAAGTAGAATCCGAACATCTCATTGCTGAGTAGAGTCACAAGCAATATAATTACATACACCATATGACAAGTAGAAAACACTCGAAACAATAGATCAGTCAGATCCGAATGATGACAGTAGCCAAAGAGCACATAAACGGGGGATAGAACGATAGTATGACACTACAACTTCCACCGGATGAGACAAAAGGCCGCGACGCGACCGCGCGCCCACGCGGCAGACAGATTACAGCGCCTATCGGGAAATGGAGTGCCGGAAAATTCATATTAGAAGCACAATAGGGGGGGGGTCGTATCACAAAAAAGAACAAGAATATATCGAGATCGATGACGTAAACCTTTTCTAACTTCCTTTTCACACACTTAACAATATTCATATACCTCGCAACGTGCT